GTGAGTGAGTTGGGTTTAACGTCGCTTTAACAGTATTCCAGTTATATCACGGCGTGTCAGCTTAATGTGGGAGGAAAGCCCGAACTGATGCAGGTCTCAGAGTGAGTGAGTGAGTGAGTTGGGTTTAACGCCGCTTTTAACAGTATTCCAGTTATATCACGGCGTCTCAGCTTAATGTGGGGGGAAAGCCCAAAGTGATGCAGGTCTCAGACGTTTACCACTTCGGTGAAACCCACGAGCACGGGTATGGTGCTGACAAACCTAGAAGCATAATCGGGACGAACCTGGATTCGAACCCACAATCATAGATTTCTGGCGTGCCCAAGAGACGCAACTCTGCACAGCGAATTGCGGTGCCTAAGACGACTGGGCCACCCGTGTCCCCGCCAAGCCCCCCATCAAGAAGCCTATCATACTGTGTTTAGCTTCTTATCTCGTCTCCTTGATCATAGGAGAGGTGAAAATGGGGTTTAACGTCGCGGTCTTATTGCACTTATATAGCGACGTGCATGTACAGTACTTGTTTTAGCCCCTTAATGCCGATCGCCAGGCAGGGTAACAACAAGTACCATATTTTAACGTCTTTTGGTATGAACATGCTTGGTTAAAAGTACACTTAATGTAGCTTTGCATTATGTGTTATTTGAGAAATCTATGTTTCATCATGTTTTGTCATTATTTCTATGACCTGTTATCCATACAGTAACAGTGTTGTGTCCAAGCAGGACAAAAACAGGCTGCGATAAAATGCAATATACATCTGTGGATGGATATTTTATCAATTCTTTTTAATAAAAAAATTGTAACCATTATTTTGAGTAGCGAAGACATCATTTATCTAATCGTGAGTGAATGGTGGTCTTGTGGAAGGAGAGGTCAATGGTTCGATCTTCTATCCGCGTCACACCAAAAGACGTTGAAAGATGGTACTCGAGTCAGTCTAACGTGTCCATAAGCAGTATTAAAGCGCGGCATGGTATCTCAGTGGGCTGGCTCTACAAAACCGGACTAGTACAAGCAGACACACATGCACGCACGCACGCACGCACGCACACACACACAAACACGGAGCACTACCATCTCACTACCATATAGTAATGATACCAAGAAAGAAAGACACACAATAAAAGAAGTGAAACATGTTGACCGACCGATCCCATCCCAATGCAGTCACACGCGCCTGGCATCCGGGTCACCTGAACAAATGGCGAGTCTATGGCGAGACCCCTGATTATTAAACACCCATAGATTTCCATTGACGCTAGTGTTGTATGCTCGTTGTCGTGGCTTACCCATATGCTGCTAACGCCATTTCAGTATCATTATTATTGTGAATTGTTACATATGCATTACTTAGAAGTTGATGGATGACAATTAACGTCTTGCCTTGACAACTGTTGACATGCTGTTCCCGGTAAAATACACACACACAACAGCACACACACACACACACACACACACACACACACACACACACGCACACGCACACGCTCACACACACACACAAGCACGCACACACACACGCACGCACGCACGCACGCACACACACGCACGCACGCACGCACGCACATACACACACAACAGCACACACACAAGCACACACACACGCACGCACGCACGCATGCACACACACACACGCACGAACGCACACACACACAACAGCACACACACAAGCACGCACAACAGCACACGCACAAGCACACACACAAGCACGCACACACACAAGCACACACACAACAGCACACACACAAGCACACACACACACACACGCACGCACGCACACACACACGCACGCACGCACACACACACACAACAGCACACACACGCACGCACGCACGCACACACACACACAACAGCACACACACGCACACACAAGCACACGCACACACACAAGCACGCACACACACAAGCACACACACAAGCACACACACACACACACACACACACACACACACACACACACACACACACACACACACACACAAAATATACATGTACACATACACACTAATTGCCTGCCACAAAATTCAGCTGTATCATGGCGTGTCAGGAAAGAAGACGCAGGTAGAAGATTGATGGATGAAGTTGGAATGATCGATTGAGGGACTTGCTAATGGTTCCCAGTTAGTCACGTGCATGTCAGGGGACACATATCTTTGCTGAGTAAGCATGACAACAAGGAGTGTATGAGTCCGGGAGTAGAGAAATGTGTAGAAAACAGGAAGTACAAGTGATGAATTGAAATACAAACGTTGTGCATTTTCATTCTTTAAACATGTCATGTCACATAAACATGTCATGTCACACATCATGTTATAGCGTTCTGTGTAAATACGAATGTGCTCTCACAGTTGGATATTCAATAATACCTCACTCACTCTCACTCTCTCTCTCACTCTCTCTCTCTCTCATGTCACGTCACACATCATGTTGTAGTGTTTTGTGGTATATGTGCACTGTGAAGAACTAAACTACCCTCACACAGACACCCCCTCTGCCTCTAGTTGTTCACGGGTGGAATGTATGTGAAGAACTAAACCACCCTCACATAGACACCCCCTCTGCCTCTAGATGTTCAAGGATGGAATGTATGTAAAGAACTAAACCACCCTCACATAGACACCCCCTCTGCCTCTAGATGTTCAAGGATGGAATGTATGTAAAGAACTAAACCACCCCCACATAGACACCCCCTCTGCCTCTAGTTGTTCACGGATCGAATGTATGTAAAGAACTAAACCACCCTCACACAGACACCCCCTCTGCCTCTAGTTGTTCACGGGTGGAATGTATGTAAAGAACTAAACCACCCTCACACAGACACCCCCTCTGCCTCTAGTTGTTCACGGATGGAATGTATGTAAAGAACTAAACCACCCTCACATAGACACCCCCTCTGCCTCTAGTTGTTCACGGATGGAATGTATGTGAAGAACTAAACCACCCTCACACAGACACCCCCTCTGCCTCTAGTTGTTCACGGATCGAATGTATGTAAAGAACTAAACCACCCTCACATAGACACCCCCTCTGCCTCTAGTTGTTCACGGATGGAATGTATGTGAAGAACTAAACCACCCTCACACAGACACCCCCTCTGCCTCTAGTTGTTCACGGATCGAATGTATGTAAAGAACTGAACCACCCTCACACAGACCCCCCCTCTGCCTCTAGTTGTTCACGGATGGAATGTATGTAAAGAACTAAACCACCCTCACATAGACACCCCCTCTGCCTCTAGTTGTTCACGGATGGAATGTATGTGAAGAACTAAACCACCCTCACACAGACACCCCCTCTGCCTCTAGTTGTTCACGGATCGAATGTATGTAAATAACTAAACCACCCTCACACAGACACCCCCTCTGCCTCTAGTTGTTCACGGATCGAATGTATGTAAAGAACTGAACCACCCTCACACAGACACCCCCTCTGCCTCTAGTTGTTCACGGATGGAATGTATGTGAAGAACCTATTAAAAAAGGTGATGTCATCAGAATGTAAGACAGTAACCATCGTGCTTATCGAAGAGTTAACATGGTGCAGCGACTTAATGAGAAATGATTGATGATTGCTAAAAATGAAAGAAACAAGACATGGTTATTCGATGGCGATTTATTTGATACGGGTATAGCAGTGTGTCGGGGACTGTTTGCAGACTAGTAACGTTGTGATCAAGTTTGTAATGTTTTGTTAAATCCAATTTACAAGTGTATACTTTCTTTTTGCATGGCAGTTTAGTATTGTAGATCACAACTGTTTTAACCAGGATACCAGGATACCAGGTTTTAACAATTCGGTCAATATCCACATAATTTTAACAAGTACCTAGAAACAAAACATGTTTTATCTTGTTTCCTTTAAAGAAAACATACCAGTGCCCATATACGAATATTGACAGTACCGGGTGACCTCGCCTAGGTGAACACTACCAAACTGACTGTCGTTCATTTCCCGATGAACGTCAGTATGTCACGTGATTACGTTGTCAATCGAGCGGAGACATACAGAACTACTTTAGGGGAATTCCTCAATGTCTAAAAATAACATTAAAAATAATTTGCGAAAACTGAGTGCGACATCGATTCGGGCCATAATGATGATGTGGGCTTTGAAGCCAGACAGATCACGTATATGTCGTGTCGTAACAGAGAATGCTCGACTTACCAAAAGAAATCACTGAGCTCCTCACTGTCGTGTATTGCTTCGGGAAATCCAAACGCGCCGCCCCCAGCGGTAATCCCCGTCATCAGCAGCCATAGTATGACTCAAACAATCACCCAAAGTTCACAGAACGCTAATATCAATCCATTTTCAGCATCAGCCAGGTTCTGATTTCTTTCCAACGCTAACTTTACTGGGTGCAACTTTTATTTCAAGTGAAAGACATTGCTGCAGCCGCCATTTTCTGCCGTTTGTAAAATCAAGGGATATCACTCCAAATGGAAGGTTTGGGACGGATGACGTTACGACGTTACGACCCTCCGCGTTCGTATAGTTCGCTTTAAATAATTAAAGTTTGATGTTTAATGGATTGTTTTGTTATGATTTATGTTTCTGTCAATATAAGGATTGAAGTTGTATTTGTTGACGTTCATCAGCTGATGAAGACACTGCCTCACGTAAGCAAGTTTTCCATGATGCGCGAAGCGAACTTCTATCCTTAATTGGAATATTTGCATGTTCTACTTTCAGATAACACATACTTCAAACGACTATTTGTCAGAATGTGAAATATGAAGGTAGAGACTGCTTTAAATGACGTACAAATGGCAGAGTCGAGGAGAGGGGGACGTTTGTAGTGAAACGAGTAAGTTGACGTGACATATGTGATTGAATTTAACCCGGTTCAATTAGCCATGTTTTCGAACACCGGCAATTTCGAGCTAAATATCTTCAGGTAACGCAGGGCTACATGTCAACATTTCCGGTAACTCCGGACTAAATGTCAGTACTTCCGGTAACTCCGCTCTGAATGTCAGTACTTCCGGTAACTCCGCACTATATAAAACTCCACAGTCGTACAACGAGGCGATCCCGTGAGCTTCAAGGAGTGACGTGGGAGACAGATAAGGCGGGATCAGCAGTTCACTATTTGTCAGCTGGAAAAAGAAGGTGGGTTTCTGCTTAGATTATGTGATAGATATGTTCTTCAACTGTTGTTAATTAAAAACTCTAAAAGAATATAATATTAAAATATCACCGTCGCCCGTTGTTCAAAACAATGTGGAAAAAGAAAATAATATTAAATTATAACCGTCGACCGTTGTTCAAAACAATGTGGTACATTCAAATGTGTTCTTTAAGTTAACAAACGTTATTTACTGACACGACAGTGTTGTTAAATGAATATTTATTTACAGAAGTAGTACATAGTTTAAATAATGTTAAGCATCCTTATTTCCGTGAATGGTAAATATATTATGCCATCAGAAGCACGGATCTAGTGAGTTTAACGCCGCTTTCAACAGAGTTCCATTCAAATTGCCTCTTGTCGGCTTGATGTGGGAGGAAAGCCCGAAGTGATACAGTCTTGGACGTTTACCATTTGGTGAAACTTACGCTCATGGTATTGAAAATCTAGAAACACGTTCTTCGGGATTCGATCCATCGGTAATCTCAGCTACGCCTTAGAAGCGCATTTCTGCAGGAGAATTGCGCCTTAAGCTACAGGTTCCCCCTTGCTCCGGGCTGTTTGTACATGTAAGGGGTGAATACAGAGTCCCTGATACATATACAACCGCCTCAATGGTCTCGTGAGAGCGGAAGGTGGGTGGTGAGAGGCCCACTCGCGTCCTAAATATAAATTCATTTGGTGCTTGATGTCAGCGCTCAATATCAAGGGACAAAATAAGGACGGCTCGGAGTGCCTGAGCGGGGTATCCATGTTAAACTTCGGCATGGTATCTCAGTGGGCTAGCTCTGCAACACCGACATCAGTCTAGTGCAAGCACACACGCACGCACGCACGCACGCACGCACGCACGCACAAACACCCCCCACCCCCCATGTCTATATTAATACAATAATCATATATGTTCCGGGGACGATTATCAATTAAACAGATGACATTCATTGTATACTTTCTGCTTTCACATCTGTTCATTTTAATATTTTGATATCAAAATGTGAAAAACAAGTCTTGATTGCTTTCAGATGGAGTTGAAACTGGTTTGCGTGTTTTTAGCTATTGTTGGGTGAGTTTACATGACTTATACTACGTGCCTCAAATATCCACAAAAATGAGTTTGTCAGAAAACGAGTTCTCAGGTATATAAGATAAAGGAAAGATAACAAATCTATTTTTGTCCCCACACGATGTTAAAAAGGGCGGAGAGATTAATTTGTGTCAGTGGCCATGCATGTCGTTAGAGCTGACTAACTCGTTTGCTTGGCTCGGAGAGGTACAGGGTGTCGTAATATGGCTGACAGTATTACTGCAATATTAAAGCTGAACTGCCTAAAAAGAAAGTATACAGTTGAACATTTGGATTTGACCAAATAATTACAAACGCTGTCAAAACATTACTAGGATGAAAACACTCGCAGAAACACTGCAAACTTAAGGTCCAAATTGCATTTGTAGAGTACACTTTCTTTTGTCCGGCAGTTTATATCGTAGCTGAACGATTTGAACGTCATTATTGTTAAAAAAAGGTCCATGAAAACCAGTGGTCGATAGTATGAACACCTTCTGATCCATCTTCGATGACACACAGTCAGCTTGGACGAAGTGTCCTACTCACCCGTTTAGCGCGTTCATAACCCCCGATACACATTTCCCCCGCCTCGTGGGATTTAGGAGAAATAAATGCAATTTTAAGCCCCAAACATACCATCTGTATCACGGCGCCCTGTTAATAATTGAGTTCAGACAGATAGACCAGTGGTTGATAGCATGAACAACGAACCAAGCCTCATCGAAACTAAGACAAACAATTCACAGTCACACATTGTAACTTACCATTCCCCTTGTTTGGCCTTAACGACAAGCTTAGCATCCCCTCGGCCAGCTGTGCCACGTTATCCCACGTAGCATCCCCTCGGCCAGCTGTGTCACGTTATCCCACGTAGCATCCCCTCGGCCAGCTGTGCCACGTTATCCCACGTAGCATCCCCTCGGCCAGCTGTGCCACGTTATCCCACGTAGCATCCCCTCGGCCAGCTGTGCCACGTTATCCCACGTAGCATCCCCTCGGCCAGCTGTGCCACGTTATCCCACGTAGCATCCCCTCGGCCAGCTGTGCCACGTTATCCCACGTAGCATCCCCTCGGCCAGCTGTGCCACGTTATCCCACGTAGCATCCCCTCGGCCAGCTGTGCCACGTTATCCCACGTGGCATCCCCTCGGCCAGCTGTGCCACGTTATCCCACGTGGCATCCCCTCGGCCAGCTGTGCCACGTTATCCCACGTAGCATCCCCTCGGCCAGCTGTGCCACGTTATCCCACGTAGCATCCCCTCGGCCAGCTGTGCCACGTTATCCCACGTAGCATCCCCTCGGCCAGCTGTGCCACGTTATCCCACGTAGCATCCCCTCGGCCAGCTGTGCCACGTTATCCCACGTAGCATCCCCTCGGCCAGCTGTGCCACGTTATCCCACGTAGCATCCCCTCGGCCAGCTGTGCCACGTTATCCCACGTAGCATCCCCTCGGCCAGCTGTGCCACGTTATCCCACGTAGCATCCCCTCGGCCAGCTGTGCCACGTTATCCCACGTGGCATCCCCTCGGCCAGCTGTGCCACGTTATCCCACGTGGCATCCCCTCGGCCAGCTGTGCCACGTTATCCCACGTAGCATCCCCTCGGCCAGCTGTGCCACGTTATCCCACGTAGCATCCCCTCGGCCAGCTGTGCCACGTTATCCCACGTAGCATCCCCTCGGCCAGCTGTGCCACGTTATCCCACGTAGCATCCCCTCGGCCAGCTGTGCCACGTTATCCCACGTAGCATCCCCTCGGCCAGCTGTGCCACGTTATCCCACGTAGCATCCCCTCGGCCAGCTGTGCCACGTTATCCCACGTAGCATCCCCTCGGCCAGCTGTGCCACGTTATCCCACGTAGCATCCCCTCGGCCAGCTGTGCCACGTTATCCCACGTAGCATCCCCTCGGCCAGCTGTGCCACGTTATCCCACGTAGCATCCCCTCGGCCAGCTGTGCCACGTTATCCCACGTAGCATCCCCTCGGCCAGCTGTGCCACGTTATCCCACGTAGCATCCCCTCGGCCAGCTGTGCCACGTTATCCCACGTAGCATCCCCTCGGCCAGCTGTGCCACGTTATCCCACGTAGCATCCCCTCGGCCAGCTGTGCCACGTTATCCCACGTAGCATCCCCTCGGCCAGCTGTGCCACGTTATCCCACGTAGCATCCCCTCGGCCAGCTGTGCCACGTTATCCCACGTAGCATCCCCTCGGCCAGCTGTGCCACGTTATCCCACGTAGCATCCCCTCGGCCAGCTGTGCCACGTTATCCCACGTAGCATCCCCTCGGCCAGCTGTGCCACGTTATCCCACGTAGCATCCCCTCGGCCAGCTGTGCCACGTTATCCCACGTAGCATCCCCTCGGCCAGCTGTGCCACGTTATCCCACGTAGCATCCCCTCGGCCAGCTGTGCCACGTTATCCCACGTGGCTCTCCATAGCCAGACACTAAAGCTACGTTTTGTAATTTTAAGCATTATGGATTTTGTTACAGATCATATCAGCTATACAACATTTCTGTAGCTTAACATCGCTTCAGTTTTGTTGGTATAACGTTGTCGGTCGGTATAATAATACCTGCTAATATTGTTAAAGAGGTGTTTGGTACTTTACAGAAACATGTATATGACTTCTCTTCCGATATGGTTTTGTTTACTTTAAACGTTTAACGCCGCTTTTAGCAATATTCCAGCAATATCACGGCGGGGGACACCACAAATGGGTTTCACTCTACTCGTGTAGGGAGTCGAACCCAGGTCATTGGTGTGACGAGGGAAAACTTTACGCAAAAGGCTACCCCTACGGACCGTTCTCTTCATAAGATAGCAGTGGCGATAGACAATACAATTAATCATTTTTTTAAAGTCATAAATTAAATTTAACCTCTATGCTTTTGTTGTTGTATCGTATAATATATCATAGAATTAAAACAAATTCAACTATTTTTATTCCATTTTCTTCGAAAATTCGCTCGAATTAGTAAACCGAAAATTTTAAAGAGTGTTGAATGTTGAATTTCAGCTGTAGCCAGGCACAGCAGTACACACAGATATGGAACGACATGTTGAACGGCAACTCTCCTCCCCTCACGACGACGCTGGTTGGGTTGTTTTTTCGAAACATGATGCGACCACGTACGTTATTACGTTTTTACTTATATAATTATGACATGTATTATGTAGACATACCAACTATGAAGGACACGGTGACCTAATTAGCTATAGCGTGCTAATAGTTGTGCGGGATTGTGTCCCTTACACGATGCAGGATCCGCTGTGTGTTAGAATACCGTCTACGCTCCGATTATGATACATAATTTATCAGCACCCGTTGGTCCAATCGTATAAGGCGCCGCAATTCGCTTCCCCTAGGATCCGATAAACGTGGTTTCGGATCCCAGTTTCTCTTCCTCTGTGTGTGTGTGTGTGTGTGTGTGTGTGTGTGTGTGTGTGTGTGTGTGTGTGTGTGTGTGTGTGCACGTGTGTATTTGTGGCTTTTTGCACTAGTCCGAGCTCTCAGAGATATCATGGCGCAGTTTAACACGGACACCCCACTAAAATTCAGTATCCTGACTCCAAGCCGACCAGTCCGTGTTTTATCCCCGTAATGTCGAACTCCAGGCAGGGTAACAACAAGTGCCATATTTTACCGTCTTTTTGTATGACGTGGCCACCGACCCACGAACCACCGACCTTCTGCTCTCCGGGAACATGATCTATCCACTAGACAACTAGAATTAGCTGTTGATCCTCGTAACACGTAAACTGGTTTTAAATTCGGCGTTGTGACTTGTACAGAGCCTGGCGCAACGACACCGACAGCCACGTCCCGAAACGACTTCAAGTTCTACTGGATCAACGCCTACCTCGACACTGAGAAGATCGCCGACGGTCTCTTCTCCTACTTCGACGGCGTCAGGGATGAGGTTATCACCGAGGGGGATATCCTTCCGATGATGAATATTGCTGACACTGATGGTAATCCGTTGTAGCTTTATCATCACGTAAACGAGAAACCGCGAGAATACCGTGTCTCCACGGTAACAAGTGTGACTTTGTCCACCGGGGCAGTCGAGCGCATGAGTTCGCACCCCATCCTAAATTAATGAGTGTATTTTTTCTAGAATGGGCACATCCTCGTGAAATCGAAACTGGGGGCAATTGTTAAAGATACAGCAATTCGCTGTGTAGAGTTGCGTCCCTTGAACACGCCAGATTGTGGGTTCGAATCCCGGTTCTCTCCGATTCTATTTCTAGGTTTGTCAGCACCATGCCTGTGCTCGTGGGTTTCACCAAAGTGGTAAACGTCTGAGACCTGCATCACTTCGGGCTTTCCTCCCACATTAAGCTGACACGCTGTGATATAACTGGAATACTGTTAAAAGCGGCGTTAAACCCAACTCACTCACTTCACTCCTAGAGTAGTCATACATTGTGTTTGGTGGTAAAAATGCGCATAAAAAGTGAAAACTATTGTTTTAATCAGAAATTAAGATACCTATGGTCCGAGTATGGCTGTTGGTTTGTCCGTGCTTGTGGATTCAACGTACTGAACGTTTAAGACCTGCATCCCCATCCTCACTCACTCACTCACTCACTCATTTTAAAGCGGTGTGTGAGTGAGTGAGTGAGTGAGTGAGTGTGGTTTTTACGCCGCTTTTAGCAATATTCCAGCAATATCACAGCGGGGGACACCAGAAATGGGCTTTACACATTGTACCCATGTCGGGAATCGAACCCGGGTCTTCGGCGTGACGAGCTAACGCTTTAACCACTGGGCTACACGATCGCACCTATATACATGTAACTGAAATACAGTTAAACCCCCATCACTCGCGTCACACTCAAAACAAAGACAATTATAAACATCACCTCGTAACTTATTGTAAAGCAATGGTCTTTGTCTTATTCAGGGAGCGGAACCATCTCCAGGGCAGAATTCAACACTTATATGGACTTGGTAAGTTGATGACAAGTTCTCTGTGCCACGGACATTATAAGTTGTAGCAGGATCACTCGGGGTATAAAAACCTAACGAGGGATGCACAAAACCCCATGTACCCCCAGTGATCCTGCTTCGACGAATGTTTCCATGTTTTGATATGACATTATAAAAAAAATCAAACAAATTCAAAATTGATAGAAAACAGCCGTTCGATTGAGCTGAGGTTAACTTGCTATGTCACGTGACTTCCATTGACTCGGAAAAATCGTGTACATTTTGCTTTGAAGCGGGGTATAAGGGATTTATTTGGCCTGTCAGAGGGTGGCCCCGTTGTCTGAAGCGCCACGATTCGCTGTCCAGAGTTGCGTCCCTTGGGCACGCCAGAAACCTATGATTGTGGGTTCGAATCCAGGTTCGCCCCGATTATGTTTCTAGGTTTGTCAGCACCATACCCGTGCACGTGGGTTTCACCGAAGTGGTAAACATCTGAGACCTGCATCACTTCGGTCCCACATTTAGCTGAGACGCCGTGATATAACTGGAATACTGTTAAAAGCGGCGTTAAACGTAACTAACGCACTTAGCCTTATGAATATTTTAATGCGAAGAAAAACCCAAAAAACTTGAGCAAATACATGAAGTGGTGTTTCAGGGAACTGAAAAAAGGTCCTGTATATCTGTCTCCCTATAAATTCATTTTTTGGTCCCTCAGGCATATGCTTACGCCGGTAACCAGCGTCTGTTGCCCAGTGGGGTCGTCCACCACAACACCCATCCAAACGTCCACGCCCACAACGTCCACGTCCCGAATGGACGGCCCTTCCTTGTCGTGGGATGAAAGTAGCTCGTTCGATGTCTTCCATTAAACAGTTGCCCCGTTGTATTGTGTTGCTTTGTCTCATGGTTTATGTGTGTTTGTCGGTGGTACGAAATGCCCGGTCGCCTAAGGCGTTATAATTTGTTCGGTAGAGTTGCGTCCCTTGGGCGTGCCAGAAACCGCTGCGGTCGAGTGGTTCGAGTCCCACATTCAGACTGATTATGTATCTAGGTTTGTCAGGACCATACCGTGGGTTTGTGAAGATCGTGTGAGACCTGCATGAAGTCGAACATCCCCCCCCCCCCCCCCCCCACCCCCACCTGTCACGCCGGGATGTGACCGGAACACTGTACAAAGGGGTCACACCAAACTCACTCACTCACTACTACACAGTCTACGAATACTATGTCTACTATTTCCATTATAACATCTACGCTTTCTATTTCAAATGCTATTTGAACTACTACTGTCACTAACGTACTGCTTTGTCTGCCATAATCACACCACCACCACTACTACTACTACTACTACTACTACTACTACTACTACTACTACTACTGCTGCTGCTGCTACTACCACCACCATAATCACACCACTACTACTACAACAACTACTACCACTACCACTACTACGACTACGACTGCTACTGCTGCAACTACTACTACTACTACTACCACAGGGGCTGTCAGGTAGCCTAGTGGTTAAAGCATTCGCCCCCCACGCCGAAGACCCGGGTTCGATTCCCGACATGGGTACAATGTGTGAAGCCCATTTCTTGTGTCCCCGCTGTGATATTGCCGGAATATTGCTAAAAGCGGCGTAAAACCATACTCACTCACCCACTCGCTCACTACGACCACAAGACCACCAGTGCCCCTACACATGCATACAGTTTGGTAGCCTAGAGGTCACAGGGGTTGCTCGTTATGCCAAAGACCCGGGTTCGATTCCCTACACGAGAGGTGAGTTGAGGTGAAATGGGGTTTAACGTCGCGTCCAAGATTATTGCACTTATAAAGCGACGTGCATGTACGTGTGTGTGTGTGTGTGTGTGTGTGTGTGTGTGTGTGTGTGTGTGGCTGCTTGTACTAGACCGGACTGATGCCGATTAATAGTGCCAGCTCACTGAGATACCATGCCCCAGTTTAACATGAACACCCCACTCAGACACAGTATACTGACTCCGAGCCGACCAGTCCTTGTTATAGCCCCTTAATACCGAGCGCTAGACAGGGTAACAACAAGTACCATCTTTTAACGTCTTTTGGTATGACTCCGGACCTTCCGCTCTCCGGGCGGACGCTCTACCACTAGACCACGGAGGCGGTCCCCCTATATGAGAACAATGTATGAATCGATCCTTACAGCAAAACATTCGTCCACCACAGCACCACCGACAACGTCAACACCGACAACGTCCACGTCACTCGCCGCCGAAAGTGCAAGGTATAACCAGGCCCCATTTAAATCTTCAGAAAGAGAGTGAGTGAGTGAATGAGAGGGTGAGTGGTGTCTTACTTGGATCTTTGGCACGGCAAACAAATGCATAAAACCATAACAATATAAGCATTGATCCCGAAAACTGCCCAAGAGACTGCTAACAGTATATTTTGTTGAAAATAAAATATAACTGGGTGTCGTTGCACTATTTTCGTCACACATGTTCATTATACTCATTCGTTATTTTGGTTCATGAAAACAAATGCAATACGGGGTGATGTTCAAGCCGATTAACACTTTTTACACTACAGCTCAAAACCTAATCTTGATCAGTAAATGGGCACATGGGTAGCAAAGTGGGTCAAGTGTTCGCTTGGCATGTCGAAGACTAGGTTCGATTCCCCACATCAGTACCATATGTGAACGCCGTTCTTATGTCCCGAGCCGTCATATGCTATTGCGACGTATAACCAGCCTATCCATCTCTAACACGGGATTTAAAATGAAACATGTTAGCCCTATTGAAAAATCTACCTATTTAAATACCGTATTCGACGTAATAAGCGCCCAGGGCGCTCTCAAAATTAGAAATAGGGGTCTCTTAATAGAGTATAATTTTGTTAGGAAAAAACAAACAGAGTTGAATGATCGTAAATTTCGTCGTTTATGCTGACAGCCTGAAATTATACAAAAGAAAAGTATGTGCGTATCATACACGACAGATATATTTTCTAGAATTTAATTGCCCATACTTAAGCGTGCGTATTATACACGAATAAATAAGACTTGTGTACATTGATCAATCGGAAGGGGTGCTAATTGGGATTGTTCACTAGCAAATATATTAGCAAATTTCACCGTGGGCGCTTATAAGAGCGGGGCGCTTATTACCTCGAATACGGTAAGTTGTTTTTAGTCATTTTTTAGATACCACAACGAAATCGTGTATTGTACCACTTATAATTGCATCCACGTTTAATCGTGATATCCCAAAACTCACATGGCAATGTCAAGATCAGAAAGATTGCAACTGTTCAGACATGTTATATCTAGACGTGGGAGTGTCGAGATTTGTGAACACCGCCATATGGAGGTGTGTAGCACACTGAAACTCACTACCAGGCCATAGCATTCAGTGTTTCTCGTCTCATGTTGGTCGGCGGACGGATGGACGGACGGACAAAACATGAGAAAAAACTGCTGAGAATAAGCGGTCTAGTTTTATATGTGTTTAAAGATGGTCCACGATGTTATCAATAGCGGGCTGTATTTGACGTGCAGTGTTTGCTATAAAAGGAGGGGCGGTCGGGTAGCCTAGTGGTTAAAGTGTTCGCTCGTCACGCCGAAGAACCGGGGTCGATTCCCGACATGGGTACAATGTGTGAAGCCCACTTCTGGTGTCCCCGCCGTGATATTGCTGGAATATTGCTAAAAGCGGCGTAAAAACCACACTCACTCACTCACTGCTATAAAATGAGTGAGCGAGTGAGGATGGTTTTACGCCGCTTTGAGCAATATTCACGCGAAAGGTTTTGTTTTGTTGTTGAGCGGTTGGTAATCAATGACCGGCGAGGGACAACGAACCAAAAATGGAGCGGCCTTAGCTTGACATAGCGACAATGGGCCCTACCTTGTACTTTAAACTTGTGGTTATCATATACTCTCCAAACAAAGAGACGCATAGGTGGTAACAATATTTTCTGAAGTAAATACCGTGGTTGGAAATTACTCCATGTTGCACTGCTTCGAGAACATGAAGTTTTACTGACAAGTGTTCCCAATCGGCTTGTTTACTTTGATCGATGACCTTTGAAATTTGCATTATTCGTTTTCTAGGCAGTTTTCACGTTTAAGTCATGTAATTTGTCACGGGTTTCTTCAGCAAATTTATTTTTTCACATTCCATGAACGAAGTGAATTTAGAAAATCGGCATGCCAAGATTCAATGATAAACCAAAAGATAAAGCTTCCCGTATAGTTGAATGTTTTGAATCACAAGCGTCAGTGGCAAGGTATTTCAACGTCCCCAAAGCACAATTTCCCCACAGGTGATCAGGGAGACCCCCCTCCCCTCCCCACCCAAGCAGCCCAAGATCGCTACATCCGGGTCCTGCTCCCTCGAAACAGGACGGAGCAGTTGGGTAGCCTAGTGGTTAAAGCGTTCTGTGTGAACCGATCTCTGGGGGATAGGGGATGGGGGCGGCTCTGAATAAATTTAATACTTCCTAAATAAAATTATATCTGTCATGGGTACATCATGTCATTACATTACACAATGCACACATTATTTTCTTACTAGCACGAAATTCATTAAACTTATTAACTTATAATTCAGTGAATGACTAAATGTAACAATTAATTTACATATTGTTACAGCTTGTTTCACAATTTCAAATTATTTCAGACTCTGCACTGGGCCTAAAATGATCTAGAAAGCCCTGACCAATTCCCGATATGGTACATTACTGGTGCCCCCAGCTGTGATATTGCTTGAATATTGTTTCAATCGGCGATAAAAGCATACTCACTTCAACGATGACATGGAAGGCAAAATATCAATTAATTTCTATTTCCGCTATTCTTGCGGCATTAAATCCCATTAATGATCTTTGTTTGTTGTTTGAGTGACTAAAAATTGTGTCAGCGTGTCAGCATCATGTCATCGACATCAGGACGGACCCCGTGGCTTTGGGGGTTAGAGTTGGTCCCTACCAACCTGTTCTGGTCGTGAGAGGCGATCAAATAGATCGGATGGTCACGCTCGCCGACACGGTGAGGTGGTGAGGTGAAATTGGGTTTAACGTTGCGTCCAAGATTATTGCACTTATATTGCGACGTGCATGTACATGTGTGTGTGTGTGTGGCTGCTTGTCCTAGTCCGGACTGATGCCGATTTATAGTGTTCGCTCACTGAGATACCATGCCGCAGTTTAACATGAATACCCCCACTCAGACACAGTATACTGACTCCGAGCCGACCAGTCCTTGTTTTAGCCCCTTAATGCCGAGCGCCAGACAGGGTAACAACAAGTACCATCTTTTAACGTCTTTTGGTATGACGCAGCCGGGGATCGAACCCCGGACCTTCCGCTCTCCGGGCGGACGCTCTACCACTAGACCACGGAGGCGGTCGGTGACACGGTGTATTGCGTGTCATCGTACCCCGACAGCGTGGCTCGATGCTCACAATATCAATCACTGGATTGTCTGGTCCGTCATATTGATGGAATATTGCTGAGAACAAACAAACAATCAAATCAGGACGGTCTGTAACAACCATCGCCGTCACAGCGGGCGACGACAGCTATCTGCAGGCTTACGTCACAGCGGATTTTGTAACTATATTTCATTGTTCAAAACTAGCACGTGTCACTCGAATAGACACAACCCCCGCAGTTAGGGCTTGTCGCTAGACTACTCCGTCTTCGTCATATTCAATATGTCCGCTGCCACATGTCTGGCCTTTAATTTTTCACTACTTATGCCAGATTTTTTCTTTTATCCTTCGGATTTGTGTCCCCAAACTATAGGTCGGGAGGTCGAAACTGTTTAAAAAAAAAAGATCCAATTGTCTTTGGTTTCATGAAAATATTAATTAGGTAGGAAAGAAAAATACACTTGGG